AAGCTGGTAGTGTTCTGAGCAGGTTCGCATTGGGGTGAGCTGAGCTGGCAGCTCTGTGGGACTGTGTAGCACGTGCCTCGGGGTGACCCCAACTCCTTCCCAGAGCAGTAAAGAAATTGGCGTGTTTATCCAGCCCTGCCAGCCACCACTGGCTGAGGGCTGCCCTTGTGAGCATTAACTCCTGGCCTTTCTTGGCCTACCATCCTTCCGTGGCTCCATGTCCCCCAGTTCATGACCCTTTGTAATATGGGCAAAGCGGGCTCCTGTGCCCAGAGAATGGCCTTGGGCAGAGAGTCGCGGGCACTTGCAGCCAGAAATTGAGAACAGGAAGTTCAAAGGCATCCGTTAGCATGGGGGACACAGGTCACAGTGCTGGCTGAGTATGACATGGGCTCTTTTGGCTTTGGGTTCTGCCTTCAAGGCAAAGACATCCCTAGATACAACCTCTAGAGAGAAATCCTTAGGAAGACATGGCAGTGGGACTAGGGGCATGGATTCTAGGGTGGGTCAGCTAGAGCCTGTGGCCTGTTTTACCTCCCACTTGCTGTGAGGCCTTGGACAAGTACTTGACCTCTCTGGACCTCAATCTCCTCACCAAGGAGACGGGAGATGGAGAGAGACGGTTGGGTCTACGGCACTGAGCAGCAGAGACGAGAGCGACGGGGCTCAGTCAAGTCTGGAAAGATGACCTTTCCCAAGAGGCCTGAGCCAAGGAGAGGGAGAAGAGGTGGCTGGAGGGTGCCGAGTAGACGCGGGGGACACTAAAGGACAGCAAGGCACATGACCCAGGAGCAGCAGCACTGATTTTGCTCAGACGCTGTGAGGGGACCCAAGACAAATGACCAGAGGAGGAGACGGCTCTGGTGCAAGACGCGCCATGGGGCCTGGCCCTGGGTCAGCGGAGCTGCTGCTATGGTAACCCTCTTCCGGCACGGCAGCCAGAGGGTAGCAGTATGGTGCCGCCACGTTGCCACCACGCGGTTCCTGACCCCTTCCTTGGAGACAGACCCGTCCACATAGTTCCTGGCCCCAGGTTGAGCACTCAGATCAGCACTGGAAAACCAACACACTACCTTGAAGAAATGTCCAACAAGCTGGACACGTCCACAAGCTGGTTGACTTCAGGCCTGGCTGGATCCAGGAGCTCAAGCAGTGACACTGGGATGCAGCTCACTCTCTCTTTCCGCATCTCCTGACTCCATCTGTGGGTTTCCACACGGAATGGCCCTGTCAATCATAGTTGTAAGTAGCAAAGTGAAAATCACATGCCTTCCACGTTAGCTCCAGTGCAAAAGGCTTTAAGAGCTCTTGTTCCTCATAGTTCCACGAAAAAAAAAAAAAAAAGTCTTGTGATTCACCCTGATTGAACTAGCTCAGGGGACTGAGGTAGTGTGCTTGCCGCAGCTGAGCTCTGAGGCTCTGTGGTCAGAGGCACTTTGTGCGCTGGCTGGCTTAGGCCTGGGCTACCTGCTCCATCCAGAAGTAGATATGGAGCGTGGGGGATGGGGAGCAAACCTGGCAACAGGGGGACGAGTACCTGTGGGAAACAAGCTGTCCACAACACTACAGACACACCCAGTCCTTGCGGTTCCAGCCAAGCAGCTGACCTGCCCACGGTCAAGGCTGCCCTTGGAACACAGGAAATCTCCATTGTGCCCAGAGCTGCTTCCTTAACGTCAGGGGCTTCAGCGTCTCCTCTACTACCTGTTGCTGGGCAACCGGGGATGGGCCTGAGCCTGTCTGGGTCTCAGCTCCCCTGGAGGATCCCGCTCTCCACTCATTTGCTCAGTAAACACGAATAAGCGCCTACCAAGCCGCGCCTTCGGCAGGGGCTGGGGCTACAAGAGTCACCCCCGCTCCCCGCCCTGCTCTCTCGCAGCACCCAGCACCGCACCTGGCACCTGATACATGCTCAGTAAAGGAACAAGACAAAGACACTCATAGAGCTCACTGTCTAGTAGAGAAAGTAAACACTCAGCATGACAATAAACCATGGCACCTGCCCCGGGTGCGCCAGGCAAACAGGAGAAACTCAAATGGTGAGGCTCAGGAGGCGACAGGACGTCCGGGACAGGGGAGATCCAGGGCTCAGGGCTAAGGAAAGGAGGAAGGGCACAGGCCAAGAATCCTCTGCCTCTTTCTCGCCCTTGGCAGGGCTGCGGCTGTCTCTGGTTGTGTGACAGTCCCTAGCCGGTCACCAGCTGTGTCTCTCGCCAGTTCACCTTCCACGCAGCTCACAAAAGGGCTTGTTCTAAACGCCAAGGTTGAGCGGCTCCATCCTTGGGATCCTTCAAGGAGGCCACGTCCCCCCAAAGGCTGTGTTCAAGACCTTTTGTAATAGGGCCCTGAGGGGACCCGTGTTGTGGCGTTAGTGGATGTAGAGAAGCCACCTGGGATGCAGGCTTCCAAGATGGGCGCCTGTTTGAGTCCCGGCTGCTCCAGTTCCTATCCAGCTCCCTGCTGATGGCCTGAGAAAAGCAGTGGAAGATGGCCCAGGAGCTTGGGCCCCTGCAAGCCACATAGGAGACCTGGGTGAAGCTCCTTTCTCCTGGCTTTGGCCTGACCCAGCTCTGGCTATTGCATTGTGGCCATTGGCAGTGGGGAGGAGGTGTGCGTGAACCAGCAGATGGAAGATCTCTAGCTCTTCCTCTCCCTCTGTAGCTCTGACTTTCAAATAAACAAATACTTTAAAAAATATATTATGGCCCCAAGCTATGATGCGTGCCCCCAGCACTTGCTGAGATGCACTCAACACCACCAGCCCCTGCTTGGGCTGCTCTTTCGGAAGGTGGATGTCCACCTCCCCTCTGCCTCCATCAAAATCTACTTGGCTTTCAACGCAGCTCTCTCCCCTTCCTGGGGGCCTGGGGGCCCATCTCACCTAGTTCCCTCCTGAGTGCCCCCCCACACTTCCTGTTTGCACTGTAGTTTTATCCACTCAATCTGGTTGTGCTCAGTTTGGCAACAGTTGAGCTCCAGAACAAGCCCCTGAGTTAGGAAAGGAAAATGAGCCAATGAGGCAGGGTCTCCACCCTGGGGAGCCCACCACGTGGAGGGAGACTTCTGAGAGAACCAAAGTCAAGTTCATCTTTTACAGGTCTGAAGTCTGTTACTTTTAATGCAGTAGTTCCAACCGGGGGGGGGGGGGATAGTCTTTTCTTCTAGGCACCTTGGACAAGGTGTGGGGACATTTTGATGGTCACACTGCAGGGGTTGCTTCTGCAATCTGGTGGATAAAGGCCATAGATTCTGCCAAACATCCTACAAAACCCAAATAGTCAGCCCCGCCCCCATCCCCACGCTGCCACCACGACAGTTTTCTGACTCAAACCTTAGTGTGGCTGAGGTTGAGAAATCCTACTTCCGCTTTTTTTGCAATGAGGAGCTGCAAGAGGATCCTCCCACAAGAGCGAGAGATTCAACTCTGAACTCTGTCAGTTGAGTCAGTGGGGCCTCAGAGAAATGTGACCCTGGAGACCAATGTCATTTACTGGGGCTCAGGGAAGTTGGCCAGCACAAGTCTGTGGCTCTTCAGCCAGAAACACAAAGCTCTGTGGGCTCTCCTGCTGATTGGTCAATCCTGTATGTATTGTGACAAGCAAAGCAAGTGTGCAAGGTCCGTTGGGCTCCTGGCACAGGGTTCTTTCTTCCGAGAAAGTGGGATCACTCAAAATCCACCAGCTGCAGGATCTTGAGCAAGCTACTTACCCTCCCTGTGCGTGCTTCCTCATCTGAGAAATGGGGCTGACAACAGTACCTACCTCTTAGAGGTTTTGTGAGGATTAACTAACATAGGACGGGAGCCTTCAACAGGGCTTGGCACATAGTAATCGCTATGTAATTTTTAGCTTTTCGCATTGTCCTATCACCACCACTACCACCATCACCATCAACATTATCATCACCACCACCATAACCATCATCATCATCATTATGACCATGACGGGCATCATCATCTCCATCACCACCACCATTATCACCACCAACCCCCACCATCACCATCACCATCACCACAAACAACCATCACCAACATCGTTATCATCATCCCCACTGCTACCATAACCATCATCGCCACCACCACCACCATCATGACCATCATCACTGTCATCATCATCCCCACCATCATCCCATAACCACCATCACTGTCACTCTCACCAGCACCAGCACCAGCACCATTACCACCACCATCACCATCACCATCATCCCCACCATCACTATTATCATCACCACCACCACAGCATCATCACCACCATCACCATCATCATCATCATCACCACCATCACCACCATCACCAGCATAACCACCATCACCACTGTAACCACCATCATTGTCACTCTCACCACCACCAGCATCATCACCATCACCATCATCATCCCCACCATCACCATCACCAACATCATCACCATCGTCATCATTAACATCATCATTTTCTTTTATAGAAAGCTTGTTTGTTGAACCTGCCTTACCTCAAGTAATACAGACCAGACTGGATGCCATGCTACTCAGAGCAGGGTAGCAAAAGGGATCAACCCTCGGCCCCTCCAACACAATCTTCTGGATATGTCCACAGGTTATTGACAACAACCCTTCTGTCTTCCCCTCCAAAATCAGTTGAGCCACACCAGCGTGGTGGTCCCAGGTGGTCCAGTTCTCAAAGTACCCCCACTGGGTCTGTCCTGTTAAGCTATACAACAGCAAAAGGCTCAACCAACAGGTGCATAAACAGAGCTTGAATGTTCTCCTGTGACGTGGAGTCTGCAGGTTGGCCACAGCTAGTCTGGCTCAGCTGCTCAGAGGCATCCAAACACACACGTCTGGAAAAGCCCTCACCTGACATGAATTCCCGACCTGGGCTGTTCACAGACGTCAGGGCTGCCACGCTGCAGCTGCCGTGGCTCCCTCCTGGTGGCAAGAGGTTCCACAGCAGGAACTCTCTTTCTCTCTGGAAAGCAAACATCTGCCCCTACCCACACAGAATTCCATTTGTGTTTCCTTGGCAGAGTGGCTCATTCGGAAACCTGGAACTTCTGGTCATGATTGACTTAAGAGAACCGCGGTCTACAGCCTCAGGTAGGAAGGACATACGCCCACCCGCATCTTCCCCAAAAATACCTGGAGTCTATTGGCCAGGAAGGCTGTGTGAGTGGGAGGTGAGTACCACGGGCACCCCAGCAGTTCAAGCTACAGTGACTGCATCACAGGCTAGCCCCTTGCTTGGCGGCCTTGATTTTGCCCATGAATCTGCAATCTGGCAGATTGTTCCTGCTGCACATGGCATCTGGTTAAAGCGATAGCCATGTTTGTTTTGCTTAAGACTTTGCAGTTTGTTCACAGTTCAGCAGATTCAATTCTGCCTTCCTTGGTGTGAGCTGGGGTAACTCCAGATCTGGGAGCTGGCATCAGCCGAAGGCCACTTGCTCTCATCACCAGGCCTGGGCTGGCAGGAACCAAACAACTGGAACTGCCCGGGCTTCTTGCTCCATCTCTATGGGGTCTCTCCAGGGTGCTCTCTCCAGCATGGGGGCTTCAGGGTAGCTGGACTCTTCCTATGGTAACTCAGGGATCCTAAGGCATGAGTATTATCGGTCAGGGCCAATGCACCAGAGACAAGAGTTGATGAAGGGAGCAGGTTTATTCCAGAAACCAGAATCCTTGGGGAACGAGCAGACTCTTGAGTCCCCAAAGTGCCTTTTCCAGTTTGCAAGTTGTCCAGAGGCTTTTTTTTTTTCAATTTGACAGAGTTAGACAGTGAGAGAGAGAGAGAGAGAAAGGTCTTCCTTCCGTTGGTTCACCCCCCAAACGGCCACTATGGCCGGAGCTACGCCAATCCAAAGCCAGGAGCCAGGTGCTTCTTCCTGGTCCATCACACGGGTGCAGGTGCCCAAGCACTTGGGCCATCCTCCATTGCCCTCCCAGGCCACAGCAGAGAGTTGGACTGGAAGAGGAGCAACCGGTGCCCCAACTGGGACTAGAACCTGGAGTGCCGGTGCGAGGCGCAGCCTATCCAGTGGCTTTTTTTTTTTTTTTTTTGACAGGCAGAGTTAGACAGTGAGAGAGACAGAGACAGAAAGGTCTTCCTTCCGTTGGTTCACCCCCCAAATGGCCACTATGGCCAGCGCTACGCCAATCCAAAGCCAGGAGCCAGGTGCTTCTTCCTGGTCCGTCACGCAGGTGCAGGTGCCCAAGCACTTGGGCCATCCTTCACTGCCCTCCCAGGCCACAGCAGAGAGCTGGACTGGAAGAGGAGCAACCGGCGCCCCAACCAGCGCCCCAACCGGGACTAGAACCCGGAGTGCCGGTGCCACAGGTGGAGGATTAGCCTAGTGAGCCGCGGCGCCGGCCTATCCAGAGGCTTTTAAGAACAGAAAGGAAAGATAAAGTGTGAATCAGGAGCAAAGGGGACAAAGACAGGGCCAGCTGCATGTTGGCCTCTGGCCAGGCGACAGGGGCTGGCTCAGCGTCCCGCTGGGGACTTCAGCCTGCAGCGAGAAACCCAGTGCTCTGGTTGTGCTGGCTGGGGCGGGCTGGGCCACTCTACAACCTCAGCCGGCTTTCTCCAGGCGGGTCTCTGGATCTCTCCCACAAGCACTGTTTATCCGTGGAACAGACACTTAGGAGCCGGAGCATCCAGGTTGCAGGCCATATAAGGTCCTCGACATCATTTGCTCTGGCCCTGCCAAGGAGCCTGGAGCCAGCACTTGAAATTCATTAACTCTGTAACAGGCTAATCTCCACACTGATAATTTGTGTGACCTTGCAATTGAGGTTATGAGATCCAGGAAAAAAGCTCCCCACCCCCACTAGCAGTCACAGGGCCAGCAGTTTGGGACTTGAAAAGGAAAGAGGTGTTTATTGCAGGCAGGTGTGGGGCGGCAGAGAGGGCTCTGGAAGGTAGTGGAAGCTCCTCCTTCTGCCCAACCTTTGGACTGACGGCTTCATTTCCATTGCCTTCTCCTCTTCACTGGAAGAAACTCACCGGGTCACGGTGTAGGGGGAGGAATGAGGCTTCCTCCTTTCGCATGAGACGTGTTAAAGAATTGGACAAGGGCTTTGTCCCATACAGTCCGTCCAGAAAGGCTAGGGAAATAACCATCCCTATTCTGGGAGCCTTGAGCCTGTGACCGTGACCGGGGAAGAGTGGCTGTGTGAATAACCCCGCCCCCTCCTCCCGCTAGGTAGGAAGATAGACATTAACCCGGGTGCTACTGTCTAGGCCGAAGGGCAAAAACGGGAAGTTCAAGTGGGAAGGAGAGTAGCAGCCTTGAAAGCAGCCTGGTGTTTACACGGCAACAATCCTGCCCCTGTCCCAAAACCTTGTGTGGGGGTCCCGGCTGCCCCTCCCTCCCCTCCTGGGGACATTTCAGGGGAATCTTCCTGGCCCGCCCCAGGACACTGTGTGATAAAGCCCTGGGAGGGATCTCATGATTCTCTTCCCTCCCAGAAGAAGAGAGAGGGAGAAGACGAAACGGCTGGAAGAAGTGCGTCCCACCAGATGCGTGCAAAGCCCAGTCTCCGTGCCAGCCCCTGTTCAGTTCTTTGCTGAGTCGCCCACCTGGCCTGGCAGGTGTACTCGCGATGTTTTGCTGGCTTGCCTTTCGCCCGTATCTGTCTCAAGTCTGACGTTTTCTTTGGGGGTGGGGGTGGGAGGTGGGACAGGAACCTCTGTTCCAGTTATACTCCATAGGGAAGGGAGTAAGCTTCCAGGGTGTGTTCTCTCTGCTCTTTCCTATTCTACGGGAAACAAGCGGAAGCTTAGGTAGGAACTGCTGGGCTGGAAGATTTTTCTCACAATTTCTGCATAGCCCTGCTTGGAACTCCAACCCCTTCCCTGTCAACCCAGTACCCCCGCTTTCCCACGAGGCACCTGTGGCTCTTGGAGGGCCAGAAAAAGGAGGAGTCATGATGGCCGCCTGGAAGCTAAGCTCCACGTGGAGGCACTAGGAAACCCCCAGAAAGCCTCCCGTGCACCAGACTCCACCCACTCCGTCCCTGCCCCGTGGAGGGGCCTGTTGCACGTGGGAGTGGCCCATGGTGACTTTCAGCTTTGGCCCTTGTCCGTCTGTCTCTGGCCTCCTCCCACACTCCCTCCTCCTAGGAGACTGTCTGGCCCGCACAGGACGGGTGTCTCTTTGGGTATGGTTACCCACGCTCACCCCAGGTGTGTAACCATGTTCTCTCTCTTTAAATACATGCTGCTGTCAGCTGTGCACCTCTGCTATGCCTCTGCGGGAACTTGGGATAGAATCTTCGGGATGGATATGCATCCCCAGAGCTCATCCCCTGCATTAACCCTTTCTCTCCCTGCTCCTACTTCCCCGCGCCTCTACTGGGTTTTCTGGGGTTGGGACAGAACCTCCAGAACTGGTTGGAGGAACTGCTAGAGAACCCCTCCCCACAGAGCTGGACCCGCTCAGCCTAGACATAGCAAGCTGACTGCTGATCCTGGGGTGGTGGAAGACCGCAGGAGTTTCTTTGCAATGCAGAGAGCAAGGGCAGCCCGTGCTCAGTTCCCAGACCGCCAAGGGACTCAAGGCCGTGACTCTTACAGCTCAAAGCCCGGGGGGGTGCTCAGTGCACGACCCTCTCGCGTGTGGGCCTCGGTGTGTATGGCCTTCCTACGATGAGTCAGTGTTGGCGTCAGTGGGATGGCACAGGCAGGCTCCAGTTGGTCTGTGGCTGCGGGTAGATTGGGCATTAATTAGTTTAATCAGGGTCTGTGAATCCCCATGGAGCTCTCAAAATAGATGCCAGCATTAAGCTGTTCACTCTAGGGGCAGTTCCAGGCTTTGCGACCCAAGGGCTTGGCTCTGGCCTTATCCTTGTGTCACACCCTGGATGAGTTCGTCTTCATAGGGGAACTGCATGCTAAGGAGGAGACGCCAGGACCCAACCACGTCTACATCAAAGGCATGAGGGGTAGGGGCTCTGCCTCAGGCCCATTGAATTCTACTCTCAAGGTCTGCTTCTAGGGCATACCAAATCAGATTACTGGGTCAGGGCTTCCGGGTTCAGCTCTGACCTTGGACGTCATCACTTCCATTCTCATGGCCAGGGAAAAGCTAAACAAGTGGAAAAACGCGTAGGCTTTCCAGAAGACCTGCAGAGACCAAAGAACACAGGGCAAACTGCCACTCTGAACTCTGGGTGAGAAGGCCGGTGTGGGACTGAGCCAACATCCACTTCCTGACAGCGGCAATTGCCAGGCCTGCAACTACTAGGAACACTTACAGTGTGAATTTAAAAAAAGGTTTATTTTAGGCCGGCGCCACGGCTCAATAGGCTAATCCTCCACCTTGCAGCGCCAGCACACCGGATTCTAGTCCCGGTCAGGGTGCCGGATTCTGTCCTGGTTGCCCCTCTTCCAGGCCAGCTCTCTGCTGTGGCCCGGGAAGGCAGTGGAGGATGGCCCAAGTGCTTGGGCCCTGCACCCCATGGGAGACCAGGAGAAGCACCTGGCTCCTGCCTTCGGATCAGCGCAGCGCGCTGGCCGCAGCGGCTATTGGAGGGTGAACCAACGGTAAAGGAAGAACTTTCTCTCTGTCTCTCTCTCTCACTCTCCACTCTGCCTGTCAAAAATTTTTAAAAAAAGTTTATTTTATTTATTTGAAAGGCAGAGTTATGGAGAGAGAGGGAAACATACAGAGAGAGAGAGGCCTTCCATCTCCTGGTTCGCTCCCCAAATAGACGCAACAGTCGGGGCTGGGCCAGCCCAAAGCCAGGAGCCAGGAGCTTCTTCCAGGTCTCCCAAGTGAGTGCAGGGGCCCAAGGGCTTGAGCCATCCTCCACTGCTTTTCTTGGGCCACCAGCAGGGAGCTGGATTGGAAGTGGCACAGCCAGGATACGAACCGGCGCCCTTATGGGATGCCAGCATCACAGGTGACGGCTTTACTGAAATGGTGATTTTGATGAATTGCAGAATTAACTGAGGACGAGCCTGAGAATTACAGGCGTCTGGGCCGTGGTCTTAGTGGGGCTTTCACCTCCAGGAGCCTACCGCCTTCTCATAGTTAAGACCAAAGCAAAATCCCCTGCGTTTCAGGCAGGAGAAACATTTTTTAATATACCCAGGGGGAAAATAACCATTATGAGATGTGCCCAGGGCAGGCTTCATAACAAAGGCCTTCCTTCTCCGAGACACTGCCAGGGCCTTCGCTGACCCACGGGAAGGAAATCAAGTCAGCTCAAGCCTCCCCCAGCCTTCCTGGCTCCCGGTGAAGCAAGACAAAAATATCTGAAGGCCAAGGACTAGCACTCGGGCTCCGTTTTTTAAAACTGAGACTTAAGAGAATATTTCCCTTTCCTGATACCTTAGTACCCCATCGACAGCGTTCCAGAATCATGACGGTGGCCACCATGGAGAGAGCTGCAAAACACGGGCTTTGTTTAAGAAAGAGTTCTTAGGGAAGCCTCAAGACAAAAGAGGAGGGACCAAGAAAACGAGGCAGGTAGCACGTATGGCTACAGCAAGCACTAAATCCAGCCCAGGCCCCAGCCAGAAGAACAGAAAAGTTCACATGCAAACCAAATTATCTCAGTTCTGTTACCCAATACATCACCTCTGACTTCCAACACAAAGTTGGAGTGCTAGGGGCCGGCGCTGTGGCATAGTAGGTAAAGCCGCCGCCTGCAGTGCCGGCATCCCATATGGGCGCCAGTTCGAGTCCCGGCTGCTCCACTTCTGATCCAGCTCTCTGCTATGGCCTGGGAAAGCAGTAGAAGATGGCCCAAGGGCTTGATTCACTGCACACACGTGGGAGACCTGGAAGCAGCTCCTGGCTCCTGGCTTCAGATGGGCCCATCTCCGGCCGTTGTGGCCATTTGGGAGAGTGAACCAGCAGATGGAAGACCTTTCTCTGGTCTCTCCCTCTCTCTGTCTGTAACTCTGCCTCTCAAATAAATAAATAAAATCTTAAAAGAAAAAAAGAAAAGCCATACAAACTTTCCAAAGGTTCTTCCAAGGTGGGCACTTGGCCTAGTGAAGACCGCCTGCTTTCCATAGCGGGCGCCTGGGATGGACATCCGGGCCTTGCTCCAGCTTCCTGCTGATGCAACCTGGGAGGCAGCAGGTGATGGTCCAAGTCCTTGGGTCCCTGCCCTCATGAAGGAGACGCACACTCAGTTCCCCGTTCCTGCCTTTAGCCCTCGCTGGAGGTCATTGTGGGCATCTGGGGGGTGAACCAGCAGATGAGATCTTTCTCTCTCCACCTCAAATGAATAAATAAAA